TTCGCCCCGCAGCCCTGCTCCGCACCTGCGAATTCGGGCGTGGGGCTGTGAGTGGACGCTCCCCCAGCCGGCAGGGCTCTCGCAGCTCCATTTTTCTTTTCCTAAGAGGCCAGCTGAGGGTGGGAAGAACACCAACACACTCCAAATGTTCCTCCGCGCCGGCGCAGAGTGTCAACCAAAAAGTTAAGGGCAGTCCCTGACAGCTCGTAACTCAACTGGCGTTTCGGATTTTAACCAGACTGACGCGGAGGAGAAGAGAGTTCACGAAAAAGGACCCATTTGGCCTCACCACCTAAAACACTTAAACAACATCAACTTTCCTAGATTCGACTGGAATCTGCGAAGTGTCAGAGAATTTCTGACCTGAGAGGCAGAAGAGGGTTAGTGGTGCTGGGCTTCGGTTCTAGTTTTCTTCTCCCTGTGCTCAACCAGCCTGAGCTTTCAAGCAGAATAAAATTGAAGGTAATGGAGATATCAAACAGAGCCACAATTCCGAAGGCTCTTTTTCCGCCACAAGCACCCACCGTCCATCTGCAAGGGTAATCACAGAGACTTGCGGTGTCTTCATCACTAGAGGCTCCGAAAAAAAAAGGGGGGGGGAGAGAAATTTCTCCGTCGTTAAAAGGAACCCTCTGTTATCACTATTATTATTTGTGTATAGCAACATAAGAATTCCCCCCTCCCCTTAAAATTCTCCCACAATATTGAAACAGCATTTGTTGTACGATTCACACAAACGCTTGAGGCCTTTCTGGAAAACCATTACCATTCAATGGCTAGAAAATTGCTCTCCTTCCTTAAAAAAAAAAAAAAAAAAAAAGGCTCAGCAGCAGCTACGACTGACAACAAAAACTTTCTCCTGCATAATCCTCGCCCACGGAATGACAAAGAAATGATATTGACTTACCCCTGAACGGATGAAGTGTTTGATAAGGGGGGGACTTTTCTGAAGATTTCTTTTCGGGAGCCACGCAGACAGCTGCAATTCATGGGCGACACTGATTGCCAGAAACGCTATGGATTGGCATGGGGTCTGCAGCTCACAGATCCTGATCAATACCCCTACACTCCCGCGCCAGATGGTTTGGGGAAGGACAAAAATAAAATAGTCCAAATCAACCCACCATTATGTCTTTTTGTATTGCTCTGATAAACCTAGTTGTAGCACAAATGTGTTCTCTCAACACAAAACCTTCCTCAGGATTTTGAACATTTGGGTAGAAATAAGCAGCCCCCCTCTATTTGGGATTTGGGCTGTGGTTACTGTTGTTTAGTGGAAACAAAGCTGTTGGGCCCCTATCCAGACTGGGTTTACTTGTGGTCTATGTATTTTTTTTTCGTGAATAATTTATAGGGTCTCTGTTTTAATTGAATGCTCACCTTTCTCTCCCTCTCAGAGCCTAAAAAAATTTTTTTAATGTGAAAACACATATGAAAAGCTCTGGCAGTAAAAAATCTCCAGTCTATTCCTAGAATTCCTAACTCAAGTTTTTTTTTTCTTTTATAATGCAGTAGCTTATATTTGTTGTCAAAGCTGCATTTTATTTACAGACTTCTTTTGACCCATTTAAGTGTCTGATTTTGAAGAAAATCAGACCTGCGGATGTGGAATGTTAAGAAATTGATATCCTGATCCTGATATAATGGCTGGTGCAACTGTTCGTCCAGATTCTAACAGTCGTGAACTAGCACGCCTGCTACCATATTTCTGTACAGTCTATTTGTGAATCAAATGCTGAGGGGAAGGGGGACAGGAGTGTAGCTTCAATTTTTTTTTAAATTCTGAGTTGCACAACTTCTGAAGGTTAGAGTACGTGTGTAAACAAGGGGCAGTTAGAAAGCAGCTCTTCCTTTTATTTTCTTAAGAGAAAGAAACATCAAAGATATTTTGAAACATATTTGAAAATCTTATTAATACTGATATTCTTAAAATTATTTTCTTCAAGTAGAAAATATTTTTCCTTTTTAGAAAGAAAGGGAAAGGGCATGCAAGACTAATTTAGTAAAAATTAGGATGCTGACTATAAATGCACATTAATTTCCTTTTTAAATGGGTTTTAGGTTGACATACAAAACCTCAAACCATCATTAAGAAAAACAACATGAAAAATCTGCTTTAATCTAGCCCAATGAAATTATACACAAAGAAGCCAATACGATTTCATGATTTCCCTGAGATCGCCAATATTGATCGAGGGAAGGGGGAGGAATGGTGGGAGAGAGGGAGGAGGGAGAGAGGGAGGGAGCAAGGCAGCAAGAATATGCAACTCACCTTTCAACTCTCCAGCACGTGACTGCTCCAAGGCACACCAAAATGCAATTCCCAAGAGCAGATTTATCTTGGTAGCCTGGTAAACGAGTTTATCATTTTGAAAAATTATTTTAATGGCCATCTATATACTCGGGCTTCTGTATAGAGGCAGAGCATACTCAGTGTCCCAGCCTGGGGTGCCTGGCCACTCCTAAAGTCTGAAGCCGGGGCAAGGAAGGCTGTGTTCAGCATTGGGGCATATCAGACTCTTTTCCCAGCCTTGCTGCTCTCTCGCCCTCTTTCAGTCTCTGCGCACTCCTAGACCAACAGGAGGTTTGCGCTCTTGTGAACTTTTGTTCAACTCCTAAGTTTTTCAAACATTAACTGTTTCAAATTATCCCAAGTATCCAGCTGCCATATATAAGGTGGGGAGTGAAAAGAGAGACAGTAGGAGAGGGTTGAGGGGGAGAGGAAAGACAGAGAAACAAAAAACTCAGTTATTCTACCTAATTTTGTGACATTAAAAATGTGAGCAGCCAGAAAAGTATGCCTAGCAAAGTAGAGGAATGTCCACTTTCTTACCCAGGCTCTGATATCTCAAAGAAGAATCTACTTGAAAGAATAATTGGCAAGGTATTGGCCAGAGCTCAATGAAGTTGATCTATGAATAACGTCACTGTACATTCATGTGACAGGATGGTGTGGGAGGGGGTGGGTTTTTTTTTTTTTTTTTTTTTTTTTGCTCTGTAGCTAGAAGGGAAAGGAGGGCAGCCGCAAAAGGTCACCAAGACTAAGAACTATTTTCCAAATGAATCAAACCTTTCTCTAGCACCAGGAAGGCACATACAGTATTCCAGGCGGCGTGTCCTTGTTTTCTTATCAAGTTTTCTCTAACAGCTGGAAGTGGTTGGAGGGGGCTGTCTTAAGGAGACCCCCTGCTCTTCTTTTGACAGCTGATCAAAAGAAAATAGGTCACGCTTCTCAAACTTATGTCCACCCTGTCCTTAATTACTGTCTCTTTAAACAAAGGCAACATCTGCGCAACCTCAGCTAGCTTGAATCTTCGGAGGCAAACAGAGCGCAACCTGCTTTGGAAGAATCTGTTACTTTTAAGGTTTTCAATGCGGGGTAGCTCCCTGTCTTCAGCCACCCCTCCACCCCCACCCAGGCCTCGGAAATCTCCACCTCCTTTCTCCGCCGCTCCACTTCCAGTCCCCGACCTAGGATTACCAAACAACGGAAATTCTGGGTAAACGAAGGTGCACTTTTTAAAGCTGCGGCTTGCGAGCGTTCTGAAACTCGCCAGGGTTCTGGTCTTTTCAGAAACAAGTTTTGGATATACAGATGTCGGCCGACGGTCTGTGTCATCTACCCACAGCTGCAACCTGGGGCGTTCCTTTCTCGGGACCCGAGTGTGTGTGTGTGTGTGTGTGTGTGTGTGTGTGTGTGTACGCACGCGCGCGCGCGGTAGAAGAGAAATCCGCGGGTGTCGTCCCGGACGGTTTACGTACTCCCCGCTCCCAGGAGAAGTTTGTTCACTATAGGCTTTGGCAACAATCTTGCCGCCCCCTACCCACCACCCTCCTTACAAGTCGCTAGCGGGGGGAGCATTTGGTCACCTTGAAACCGCAGCTCCTAGAGTTCTAGTTTTGTTTTGCAATCTAACAGGGCCCTTCTGAAGCCTCATAACTGGGAGATTTATGGGTTCGCCGGGTAATTAAATGATGTTATTGTGTTAACTTTGCTTGGATTACGGTAGCCCGCGCCGCCTGTGGGCTTGCGTCGCCGGCCGCAGCTCCAAGGCAGCGAGGGTCCTGGGATTCCTTTCGCCTGGTAGATTATGCATGCCGCGGTCTCGGGAATTTACGGTGCATTAGAATACATAGGCGCCTGCATTTTAAAAGGGTAAACTACTGGCTCGCATATAGAGACGCTTGGGAAGTGGCTTGCTAGGAGACTTGGGTTTGTTTTCTCACAGTACATACTGGCTTGCTAGCCTCCAGAAAAGCTGTGGGGTGAGGCAAAGCGAACTAAAGCAATGCCCTTTTCTACAGATCGCAGCTGCTCAAGAGGGACACAGAGCGGCATCTTTAACATAATTTCTCTCCCTCGCTCGCACTCTCGCCTCTCTCTCCCCACTACCCCCTCTTCTTCCCCTCCCTCCCTCTCCTTGACGTTTGAGTCTAGTGGCAAAGGAGGAAAAAAAGGCACAGAGCCGTCAGCCAAACCTGAAACGCATGGCCCCGCCCCCTCATCAGCCATTGGCAGTCGCACTCAGGAGGCCCGCCCCCCAGGGCAGCAGCGCACTCGGAGTGGCTGTTTGCGGCGCCTATCGGGCGCTGCCCCGCCCCGGGTCCGGGAGGCTAGGTTGGCTGCCCCGGCGAGCGGCAGAGCCCTTCTGGACAGCTCCCGCTCACCCAAACAGAAGACGTCGGCGCCGGAGCGGGCTCGGACATGGCGAGGCAGCGCGCCGGCCGGAGCGGTGGGGCCCGGTGATCCCTCCCTCCCTCCCCGCCCCCTCCCCTCTCCCGCTCGCACGCCCGGTCCGCCCCCACCCCGCCCCCACCCCGGGCGCGCCCGCCTGCCCTCCCGCATCCCGGGGCGCACACCCGCACGCACGCTCCCCCTCCACACACTCACGCACTCCCGCGCCCTCCCCCGCTCCCGCGACCGAGCTCCGCCACGCGCGCCTTGCCAGCCCGCCGGCTGCCCCCGCCGCCCCCGCCGCCCCCGGGCCCCGATGGACTGAATGAAGGCTGCCTACACCGCCTATCGATGCCTCACCAAAGACCTAGAAGGCTGCGCCATGAACCCGGAGCTGACAATGGAAAGTCTGGGCACTTTGCACGGGCCGGCCGGCGGCGGCAGCGGCGGGGGCGGTGGCGGGGGCGGCGGGGGCGGCGGCGGGGGCCCAAGCCATGAGCAGGAGCTGCTGGCCAGCCCCAGCCCCCACCACGCGGGCCGCGGCGCTGCTGGCTCGCTGCGGGGCCCTCCGCCGCCGCCAACGGCGCACCAGGAGCTGGGGACGGCGGCAGCGGCAGCGGCGGCGGCGTCGCGCTCGGCCATGGTCACTAGCATGGCCTCGATCCTGGACGGCGGCGACTACCGGCCTGAGCTCTCCATCCCGCTCCATCACGCCATGAGCATGTCTTGCGACTCGTCCCCGCCCGGCATGGGCATGAGCAACACCTACACCACGCTGACGCCGCTCCAGCCGCTGCCGCCCATCTCCACCGTGTCGGACAAGTTCCACCACCCGCACCCGCACCACCACCCGCACCACCACCACCACCACCACCACCAGCGCCTGTCGGGCAACGTCAGCGGCAGCTTCACCCTCATGCGCGACGAGCGCGGGCTCCCGGCCATGAACAACCTCTACAGCCCCTACAAGGAGATGCCCGGCATGAGCCAGAGCCTGTCCCCGCTGGCTGCCACGCCGCTGGGCAACGGGCTGGGCGGCCTCCACAACGCGCAGCAGAGCCTGCCCAACTACGGGCCGCCGGGCCACGACAAAATGCTCAGCCCTAACTTCGACGCGCACCACACTGCCATGCTGACCCGCGGTGAGCAGCACCTGTCCCGCGGCCTGGGCACCCCGCCCGCGGCCATGATGTCGCACCTCAACGGCCTGCACCACCCGGGCCATGCTCAGTCCCACGGGCCAGTGCTGGCGCCCAGCCGTGAGCGGCCACCCTCGTCCTCGTCTGGCTCGCAGGTGGCTACATCGGGCCAGCTGGAGGAAATCAACACCAAAGAGGTGGCCCAGCGCATCACCGCCGAGCTGAAGCGCTACAGCATCCCACAGGCGATCTTCGCGCAGAGGGTGCTGTGCCGGTCTCAGGGGACTCTCTCCGACCTGCTCCGCAACCCAAAACCGTGGAGTAAACTCAAATCTGGCAGGGAGACCTTTCGCAGGATGTGGAAGTGGCTGCAGGAGCCCGAGTTCCAGCGCATGTCCGCCTTACGCCTGGCAGGTAAGCACAGAGGGTCTCCTGGAAACCGGCTGCTGTGGAGAGGGCTCCCGGGGGCTTGTGGCCCCAGGTCAGCGCGCCTAGTCTCGGTTCTTTCCTCCTCTCCGCTCTGCACTTCCTATTTTCTCTCGACTTTATTTCTTCTTCTGTCATTTCCTTCTTCTCCCTTCTTCCTTTTCTGTTCTCTTTTTCTTTTGCATCTTCATACCTCTCTTCCTCCCTCCTTGACTCCGAGCTTTCATTGACCGACCTCCCTCCACCAAATTTCATTCACCTTCCCCTGAATGTGCCAATTTTACCCCTCTTTCTGACCTTCCCTAGTTGTGGGACAAGGGACAGGGTGCGCGATGTCCACTAGGAGCTTTCTCTTTGCAGGACTTACAGAGACCTGGGATTGGCCTTTTTCAAAGCTCTGTGCACTTGAACTCTTGCTTAGACAATACATTTCAGTTTTCCAGGCTGCCTGGTTTCCCTGTATGGAGGCAGTTGAGGGGCTTTGCTCTTGAGAAAGGAAAAAAAAATTCTCCGTTCTTTTCCTACCTACCATATCAGGCAAACTTGTTTAGCTATTAGCAGGAGTCACAATCTTGACCGCTTGGGGAACGGGTGGCTAGGATACAACAGCGCTTTCCAGGCTCATCTCCGGCCTTGGCGTTGGCGCGGGGAGTTTCTGACCGAAAGAGCCGACTTGGGCCAGTTCCCGTGTCACTGCCTACAGAGAGGGGAGGGTGCAAAGACGAAGGTTGGGACTAACACATTCACCTCTAGGAGGATGGGAGAGGAAAAACTAAGAATGGAGAGCTCCCTGACTAACTCGCCGGCCACCCTTGCCCGGCTCCCAGCTTCTGCTGGGATTTCCCGAGGTTTGGCTGGGATCGGAGAGAGGCTGGGCGCTCGTGAGGAGAGGTGTTGAAAAATTAAGATGCAGGTTAGTTAATGCATCTTGGCCACGGGCAATAGGCTCCGCCTTTGCATTAAGCGGACGCTGATTGTGCGCGTAGCGCGGCGGCAGGGAGGGCAGGCGGCCCGCGGGAGGGGACGGGTCGACGCGCTGGTTACATTGTTCTGGAGCGGGCTTGGTTCTTTGTGCCTCCTCTAGCGGCCGAGCCGCGAGGTACAGCCCTCTATTGTTCTAGGAGCACAGATACCTCCTGTGTGGGCGGCGGGAGCGAGAGAGAAAGACGCAGCAGCGGCTGCGACTGGCACACAGTTGCGCGCTTTTGTGCGCGCAGACCCAGCGCGGTGCGCGTGGCAGTTGCGCTGCCCCCAGGACCTAGCCGTGGGTCCAGAGGGCCAAAGTGTCCAGGCGCCCCACTGGGGGAGGACACACAGTACCCTACTGCAAGTCTGGTTGGGCAGTTTCTCTTGGACTGGGGCCATCTCTCCGGATCCGCGGGCCACCGAGGGGACAATCCGTAGTGGCAGTGATTTACATTGGTGCTGAAAGTGGGATGTGCGTTGTGTGCGGCCGGCACGGTTCGGAGCTATACACAACGCGCTTCCGGAGCGGCAAGCTCCGGCTTCCTCTCCCGCTCCCTGGGGCTTTCCTCGCACCGCTGAGCCTGGCTTATGGGGTGCACTCTACCGACGCCGGACCGGGCTGGGGGCGTGTTCACCCAGGCTTGGGGAGGGGGCGTTGCCACTCTGACCGCCTCCGCCTCCGATCTCCCGGCAGTTAGCGCCTCTCAGTATTGATCTGAAAAGGTAAAGAAAACTATCCCCCCCAAAGCTTCCCCAAATCTATGGACTCCCAATACTTTGGTGTGCTTTTAGTAATCTATCTTTCTCCTTTAGCTTACACTTCATTCTCCACTACAATTTTCTCTTATTTGCTCCTGGTTCCTAGAAAATATTAAGCAGTGGATAGAGGGCAGCGGTGAGAAACTGGAGGCTTACTGACACTTCTGAACAGTGTGGTACCCCTTTGTCTTGGCCCCCCAAAACACCCCCATTCCCTCTCAGGTAAGCTCTAGCATTGGCTGGCTTCCTGGGCACAGGTGGCCAGAAGGAACTTGGCAGCTGGAGTAGAGGGTACATTAAAGGCAGGATGACAGCTAGTCTATTCCAGACCATCTCAGAGCACTGCCGCCCCCTCATGCCTGTCCTGCAAAGGACAGAGCTGGAAGGAAGGAAGGAAGGAACGAACGAACGAACGAACGAACCATGTGCCTTGTGCCTATGTGTGTCAGAAAGTGATATGGCACGAAATGCTTTACCTGTTAGCCTAACTCAGCCCCAAGCATTGCTGGGATAAGGGAGAGTGTCGCATACACGAGGGCCCCCAGACCCACCACCCCACCCCAGGAAAGTCAGGGTAGGGGACCACTCCTCAGGGGCTGGCCCCAGGAAGCATGGAGGCTTCCCCCCCCCCAGGAGGAGGGCTGAAACCTCCACAGGAGACTGAAAGCCCCCTTCAGCGAGTAGGAAATTCCTGCTGAGGACCTTGCTTTGCTAAAGCATTCAAATGTGTGTCTGTTTTATTACCCCGAGTTGAAAAGGGACAAGAGCTTTAGCCTTTTTATCTGGCCATTTTATCAGCAACTACAAGCGTGTTGAGTGGTTATTATTACATAGGAGGCTTTTCAGTTTGGGGTCAGTAGATCAGTCTCTTCAGACACTGACGCAGAAGCTAGGACTGGTAAGTAGGTATTATGTGCTCAGGAGCGCTAGGGGACAGGAACAAATGGAGAAGAAAAGCAGAGGCCTTCCCCGCCAGGAGTATCGATCAGAATCCCTGCAGGGACGCTGCTGAGGGCCCACACCGTAGGGCTCTGGGGGTTAAACAAGCCCATGGTTCCACAGGGCTGCTGGGCCTGACTGCCAGGCCAGAGCCTCCAAGAGCCGCCTGGGCACCTCCAGCTTGCCCCAACCAGGCCTCTTTTCTCTCCCTTCATCTCCTTTTAGTTTCCCTTTCTCTTTCTCAATTTGGACCCCTCTGGGTCTTGCCAGAGGCCCAAGCAGACAAGGATCTGAAGGACCTCGGAATCAAGTTACCTGATTTGGACCCGCTCCTGCAGACCTCACCCTTAGGCGCCCCAGAAGCAGGTCCTCCTTCTCCTCCCCCACTTGCCTCCCCCAGGTCTCTCTCCTCTGCGCCCACTGCTTGGGTGTATCCACAGCTCAGGGTGGCATTTCAAAGGGTCAGGGACAAGACGTCGGGGAAACCCAGATCGCCCCAGCACTAGATTTCAGAGAAACGGACCCCAAGAGCACGATTTCGTTGGGAAAGGGTGGCCAAGGCAGTAAGGAGTTGCAACCGCGCATTCGGCGGCTCTCAGCGCGCGCTCCTGCAGGGCAGTTTGTATTTCCCGGCACCAGGCGGGCGAGGACAAACTCCCGCGGGTTTAAACACTAACACACCCCGGCTTTGAGCCCAAGAAGCCGCTGAACCAAGCACGGTCGCGAAAAAGGAGGGACTGGAAAAAACAACAACAACAACAACAACAACACAGGCAAAACCTGGACGGGCGGCTCACGGAGGAAAATCAGGGCCTCCGTGGCGAGAGTGGTTTCCTCCAGCGTCCAGCAGCCAGAGCGGAGCCTCTGACGGTATAACCTGCCACGGTTTGCGCCTCCTGTGACCCGGGCTCCCGGGACGGCCTGCTGGGAACCTGCCACGTGTCCCGGCGGTGGACACACATACGGCCCTCTTCAGACAGCAACTCCCAGCGGCCAGTCTGGAGGCAACTGTTCAGACAGCCATGGCCTTTCACCAACCTGCCAAGAGTTTGCCTGGGCCGCCTGACGCCCGCGGCGGCAGAGCCTGCCCGGGACCGTGCTCAGCGGTTCCTGCCAGGGGCACCACAGGCCAGCGTTTCTCCTTCGGCGCCAGGAAAGTCGTGGGCTACGCTGGCCGACTGGCATCTTCTGAGCGGAGAGGCGGGGACCTCATTGTCGGAACCTCACACCCACCGCCCCTCCCGCGGGTCCGGCTCCAGGCCCAGCTCAGCCCCTGTCTCCCCGCAGTTTAGAGCGGGATCCGAGCCCCAGAGACCGAACGCAACCCACGTCCGTACCGAACACGAGACACTTTCGCCTGCTGGCTGGTCGGATTAATAATTGAAAAGCTCGCTACTGCCCTTGTTTGGTCAAGTCCCGGGTGCCTGGAAAACACCTTCCTAACACGCATCTGGGTGAGCGGGAGCGGGCGGAGAAGACAGAACGCAAGGAAAGGTAGTGAAGCCGAGCGCGAGAAGTAGCCCAGGCGGCCAGGCGCCCTCGACGCGAGCGGTTGTGCATTTATTTTTATTCCAGGCTTTCCACCGTGTGGTTATGTCACTTTCTCAAACAAATGTTTATATGGAGGGAGATCGATGCTGATAATGTTTAGAAGATTAAAAGAGCATTAATGCTGGCAACAATAACGTAAACGTGTGGACCCAGAGCTCATTGATCTGGAACCTGATCCGGCGCGTTTCCAGTAAGCCCGACGGCGCGCCTTTCCCAGCAGAGCGCTCGCCAGCGCCCCCGCTCCCCAGCGCCCCGTCTCCCCGGCGCTCCCGCCGCGCCGCTTTGCCTGCTCCCGGCGGGCCCACTGGTCAAGCCGCGGCTTCTCCCCGCGCGGCCCCAGCCGTCCCCTTCCTAAAGCTTTCTCGGGTCGCAGAGCTGCTAGCTATCTCCGTGGTCCCCGCACGCGCGCGCGCACCGCGTCCTGCGTTTCCGGCGGAGGGCTCTGCGGCGGGCTGAGTCCGCGAAACCGCGAAAGGCTGCACCGGACGGCGCCGGAGTCCTCCCAGCTCTCTCGTTCTCGGGGGACCGTCGCTCCCGGGTCCCCATGGCCCTCGTCTGGTCAAACAGGGCCCGGGGCAACAACTTCTTTTCTCCTTCTAAACCGTCCAGAAAATTCGACCCGCCTCTCGATATGCGGGAACGACCAAACCCAACTTGGAAACGTCTCTCAAGTTGCCATGATAACCGCGCAGCTTCCGGACCCTCGGATCCCCTCGAATCTTTCCTTGTTTTCATTAAAAGGAATCATTCACACGAAAGTGTTCGCATTCACC